TACATATATATAGCAAGGCTATAATCATTATAATTAAATAGATATGCATTTTTGTTGCTGTGGTTTTGTATCTTTGTTTCTGTAGGTGTGCAGCCATGGTGTCGGATCTGCTGTCCTGTGTTTTCTCTATATATATTTCACATATCTTCTAATCTCTCTTTCACTCTTTCCAATTACTTTTCACTTTTTTTTCTTCTCTTTCTTTTTCTTCTTAAAAAAAAGTCATTGATGATGAAGAAACTAAGAAACTAGTATTAAGTTCTGCTTTCTACTGAAGTGGCTTTAAAAAAAAGGAAAAAGAAAAGCAAAGCTGATCATGTCAGCCCTGAGAGTCACCTCTGACTCTGTGTGGACTGTTTACAGATCGCTCACAGGTCAAACTCACCTGGACAGGAATGCAGTGTAGTTCTGCCCTCAGTACAATCATCCTGTTTTGCCTGAAGACAAAACCATTGCCATTTGCAAACTGACTATGGACTTTCTCACCAAAATAGGATCCAAATTGGGGACTCTAAAATCTCGCAGAAGCTTGCTTTTGCCTTATTTTGAGATTAGATTTTAAAAAATCTACATTTCTCTAGCTAGCACACCAGTTTGTGTAGAATGTAGCAATAGGGTGAAGTGATTTGTCTCAGAAGTCAGCTACATCCTCTGGATGGACTCCTGGCACTGGGCCTTACTGCTTACACAACAGCCACATTGCTCATGGGTTAAACTATAGGTGAGGGTAGCACACATGTGATTGAGCATGTCACATTCAAACATATAGATATATTCCCAGGAAAGGAAACTAAAGTGAAAACATATCCACAAAGGAAGAGAAGAAAGACAGAAAAGAGTGGATGTCAGCAGCACGGGCACACTGGTGACATCACTCTGCTGTCAAACTCAGCGTGAGTTCAGTGTTGGCTAAACAAGCTCTACTTACTGCATGTGAATTCTAATTATTACTTACTGTAATCTCCACATGCTGTATACTGTACTGCTGTAACCAGATCTTTTCTGCGTTGTGCTGGTTATGAAGAAAGAATTTGCAGTGACACTGGTCGTCTTTGGAGAAGCTGTTTCCCCGTTTATACTGATGAGAACATTAAACAGAAAAGCAACCACGTTATAATCTGCCTGCTCCAAGTCCTATGTAAACTGAACTGTAATTTTATTGTGCTCTGTGCAATGACAATAAAGGTCTATCTTATCTTATCTTATCTTATCTTATCTTATCTTATCTT